TCAAAAAGGTATAATTTTCTGTGCAGTGTATAATAAATATAATAATGTAACAGTTATTACTCTTACATATGCAATTACAACTATATATTTCATTTATTCATCCGAACGACGATGCAACAATAATGTCGGAGATATGAAAACAATATGACGCGTGGGATAAAATCAACAAAATCAACATAGATCCTTGTGGTCCTTAAAAAATCATCTAAAACCAGTGACGCTTTTCAGAATCGTGCCCATGAAAGCACGAAGAATCGAAAAAAAGTTTCTACCGCAAACAGCGAGACAAAATATCGAACATTCCCTGCGCACGTTTCTCGTAACGATGGAAATATTCGAAATATTTCGGCCTTTTTGCACGCTTATACTATTTTAAAACGCGGCTAAACAGCGCGTGGATCGTGAAAGTTGGCGTCGTTGTTGCGGAAAATCTGCAAGATCGGCTTGCTGTCTTTTATGTAACAGTCGAGGTCGTTAACTGGACGTTCATGGATGTTGTTCGACGTCGCACGCGCGTTCCCAGATAGATTCTCTACGGTTTTTGCGGGCTTCCGAGCGCGATAGCCGAGATTTTATGGGCTAGCACGGTCCATGCGATTTTCCCCAACCTACCGTGTTCTCTTCTAAGGGAATTTCACGCTCGAGCTATCGGGGAAATAAAAGAGAATCGTGTCGACGATCCTGTGCACCGAAAACGAGATTCCGTAGTGCAGGACAGTTCAGCGAACTCTGTGCTTGCTCCCGTATTTTTGGTAACGAGTTTTTGGAATTTGCATTATTGAGATTGTGCTCAAGATAGCGAAGAATTGAATCAGCTTAATTTACAGCAAAGTTTAATTTACACTGTTCAAGTATAATAAAATTTAAGTATAATAAAGTATACTGTTCACACAAGTAGAAATAATGTTTGTTCGTTGAATAATGGAGCACGCGATTATTTAAACGATACGATTTTTATTAATATGGTTTTTATATTATATTCTGTTATATTGTCATTATTATATAAATAACACGCTGACTTCAAATCCGGTCACAGAATTTATTTGACAGATAAATGTTCAAGTAATTTATTTTTGACAGATATATTTGCGAGTAATTTGTTTGACAGATAAATGTTCAGGTAATTTATTTAACAGATAAAATTGCAAGTAATTCGACAGATACAGTTGCAAGTAATATATTTAACAGATAAATTTCGAAGTAATTTATTTGACAGACAAATTTGCGAGTAATTTATTTGACAGATAAATTTGCAAGTAATTTATTTGACAGACAAATTTGCAATTTATTCAACAAAATTGATCTACCAGTTCAGAATTTTGAGAAAACATCAGCTGATTATGAAATCGTTCGCATTATTAAATCGATTATTTTCAAAAGCCCGACACAAAATCTGTGAAAAAAAATATTGATGTGAAACATATCATCATAAAAAACCCAACTGTACCTGGCATTGGATAATTCTGGGAAATTGGATAAATTTGGATAAGTCTGGTTAATTGGACCATTCCGATGGAATATTTCAAGTTTAGCAATTTTAATAAATCAAAGAGGACGCACGAACATTTTTCTGAAATTTTAGCATGGATGCATGAAATCCGCAGACTATTTATTACGAACGGCTATCAAAAGACGTCGTACCACGTCGCCAGTCAGTAACGTGTTAAGACGACTGAAGTGCAGTAATTTCGACGAACTCAGCGATTCGTTGGAGCACGTATAAAATTCTGAAAATAGCCGATACGAAGACCGGACGCGAGAGCGAGTTCTTCGCGGCAAGAACACCATTTTATCGCCATTTTATCGCCGGCGAAATGCAAACTTTCTTAACGCGGAAATTTTTCCGGTTCCGATGGCTCGCATGACCGCGAGCCAAGAAATTACGTCGTTTCAAAGCGGAGCGTTTAATCGCTCTTTTGGGATTCGTCGCATTGAATCGTGACGATCAGATTTTCACCGCAGCTGAACGAAGACTAGGAACTCGAGACTATTTCAAAGGCATCGCCGAAGGAATTCTAAAGGCTCGCATTCTTTCGATTCTCGTTTCTTCAATCGATCATTCTGTGACTGTCGCGCACAGTGAAGTACGAATTGCATTGGAAATAAAATTGGCGTGGTTCCGACATAAAAATCATTTGGCAAGTTGGAACGGAACTCAGTGGTTGTAAACGTTGCGAACGAAAATGTAATTTGCGAGGAAAGTAGTCGAATAAAGATGCAAAAAGCGCACCTGTAGCAATGTGAATGTACCATGGCCGGAGAGGAAACATTTTACACCACCCTGACCAGGTGGTTATGGATTGTGTGCGCTGGACTGTTTTGCAACCGTGCAACGTGCAATGTTTTCCATTAATTAAATTCTTCCTCTTTTCCGCTTATTTATCCGACTCAATGAAACACCTCACAATGGACTCCGTTAAATCTGTGACAATTTCAAAAGCAGCTGACCTGTTATCCTGAATTTGATACGAACACAATAGGGTGAATGTACTTATTTCTGCGGTATTATTTCTCAATCGGATTGAAATACGTATAAATAAATTGTTTGCCCTCAATACGTTTTTGAACGGTTCAACGAGAATGTATCCTCGTACAGTGACTCTATCACAACTTTACCTATCCCACTTTAACTGTAACGCTTTAGCTATCACACTTTAATTACCACCCGTTAACTATAGAACTAACTATAACATTTTAACACTAACACTATAACTGTAATTATAGCACTTTAACCATAATACTATAACCATAAATCATAACGCTAT